CTTTTGGGTATATGCCCAAGAGTGGAATTGCTGGATCTTGTGGTAGATTAATTCCCATTTTCTTGAGGAGTTGCCATACTGATTTCTAAACTGGCTGTACAAGTTTGCACTCCCACCAGCAGTGGAGAAGTATTCCACTTTCTCCACATCCTCTGTCATTGGTGTTTTTTATTTTGGCCATTCTGACAGGATAAGATAGTATCTCAGAGTTGTTTTGATTTGCATTTCCCTGATGGCTAAGGATGTTGAACACTTTCTTATGTGTCTTTCAGCCATTTTAGATTCCTCTATTGAGAATTGTCTATTTAGTTCTGTACCCCACTTTTTAATTGGATTGTTTGGTGTTTTGGAGACTAGCTTCTTGAGTTCTATGTATATTTGGAGATCAGCCCTCTGTCAGATGTGGGGTTGGTGAATATCTTTTCCCAGTCTGCTCCCACTGATTTTTAAGGCAGGGTCTGTCTTGTTCGGTCCCCCACACATGTTTGATGCTCCTGATCCACCAACCATCTCTTTGTAATCACATGTTGATGGAATTACAGATTCCTGCCACTGCATGTAGCTATTATATGTGAGTTCAAGGGACTGAACTCAGGCTTCAGGCTTGTGCTTTTCCTGCTAAAACTTCTCCTCAGCCTTTCATAAGATTTTCATTTAAGAAATGTAGAGAGAACATGTGATTACTGCAAAAGTGTGACTGTTATGTGGCCAGCACAATAGTCCACTTGTAATACCAATCTCCCGGGCTTGTTAGTGTTCACAATAGCAGCTCACTAAAGCTGTTTCTCACTGTACATTTTTAAAGAACCTTAGGTAGTTTCTTACTCCTGAGACTTAATTACTTTTCATCCATAAAAATAAGTACATCTGTTTATGTATAAACTCTATTCTTAACTATCCAAATGAAAAATTCATTTATATCTTCAGCCTTGTCCTGACCACACTCATCCACATTTCCCAGACATCCATTGTTGTATGTTATCAGTAGGGCTTAATCATGATTTGGTTATCAAGTTTGGGGAGTATTATTCCCTATTTCTGTGTCTCCCTAAACCTTGCTATTTCCTCTCAACTTACACAGTGACATTGACTGGTACAAAGACTGTGCCAGTTTGACCTGTAGAACATACATACCAGCTTTTAGATTTGCCTACAAGGATGAGTCATGAATTCTGTGATAGTATACAGTGTAAATAATGTCAATTTGCAAAATCATAAGGTAGCTAAAAAAGTCCTAATAAGGCAATGTGGAATTTTTGTTAAAAAGCAATATGTGTCTATGTATCTGAGTGTGTGTTCTGTAGGGTGTGTATATTTGTATGTATGTATGGTGTTGTGTGTGTGGGTGTGTGTGTGTGTGTGTGTGTGTGTGTGTGTGTGTGTGTTGGGAGGTTGTTAAATGACCACAAATTTACTAGAGATACTTCATATTCTTCTGTCTGGTCTTCTTCATTCCTTATACAGAATGTGCCAATCTGGGACTTTGATAACTCATTGCCCTGGAATGTGTGACATGAAAATGAACAAAGCACCTATCATTAGCATGGGTTTCATGTCAACCCTGACCTGAGCCTCTTTCTACTCCCCTGGAAAAGAGGAATGTCCTCCTTCTTCTCCCAGGTGCCCACACTCTGCTCCTCAGGATATTGATATAACCGGCTAGTTCACTACATGACGATGATGGTGGTTGTCCTTGTTAATAATGATGGTTGTTGGTGTTTTAGCCTAGATCTAAGGAGCTCAGGAAGAGGACCAGCATAGCAATGGAGCTGGTTGCCGAGCATCCCATTTTGTTCTTGGATGATCCCACCACTGACTTAGACTTGAAAACTGCTACTGATGTCATCAAAGTCCTGAGAACGTAAGTGCTGAAGGAACATTAGTTTCATTCACTCAATACCTGGTCACTTGTGTGCATTTTGTGCAGGAGATTCAGAAGTAAGCAACCAAATTCCTTCCTTGTTTATTAGAGGGAAACTTCCATTAACAAGGAATACACATTAGGAACCATGACACAAGAGCATAGGTAAAGAGGCTGTGGTGAAGGTGGAGCACTGCTTTGGTGGAGCACTACTTTAAATTGCATGTCCCCGTAACCCTCATGCATGTGACTAGTGAGCTGGGATGAGTGGGTGAAAGCTGAACAGAATGCTGGATGGAGGGAAAATTCATTTGTTCTGAGGTAAAGCACATTTGGTGTGTCTGGAACATTAGCTAGACCAAGTTGACTAGAACTTGGTGGCCTGAGGGGATGAAAAGTTCCTAGAGCAGTGTCAAGGACACCCCAGACTGGGTGACTTGATAGAAGTTAAATTTCTTACAGTTCTGGGTCTGGGAAGCCAGGCATTAAGGTACCCACAGGCTGTGTCTGCTGCAGCCTGGGTCACTAATTGTGGATGGTGTCCTCTCTCTCTTCGTGTGTCTATGCACTGATCTCTTAAATGAACAGGAGTTACATTAGGACACACTAGTAATCTCATTCTAACTTAATGACCTTTTTAAAGACTCTGTCTCCATTATAGCCACATTCTAAGTTCTTATATGTGAGGTCTTCCACAAATGAGTCTTTAGAAGGACACAATTCAGCCCTTCACATTCACAATTGGTCATCCTACCTGTAGTTTCTTCCAGTGCTCTGGGAGCAGACTCAGGCTCTGATATGCTGTGTTCTCCTTGGTCTCCAACACTCCTGGAAGTACATCCTAGTGGCTCTATCTATCTATCTATCTATCTATCTATCTATCTATCTATCTATCTATCTGTGTTCTATTTATTAGTGTGCATCTGTCTGTTTGCATGTGTGTCACTGTGTGTGTGTGTGTGTGTGTGTGTGTGTGTGTGTGTGTGTGTGTCTGTATGTTTGTCTGCAAATGGGTTCGAGGGACTGAACTTGTATCTTTAGACTTAGCATCAAGTTCCTTCACCTATTGATTCATCCCGTTTCCTTGGCTTGAGTATTGATCAACTAATCATTTTGTGGTTGCTGGGTTATATGATATGAAATTATAGCTTTTCCATTTGTGATTAATAGTCTGACAGGGAAAACAATGAACTGTTATGTCATTTTTCTGCCCTTATCTCCTCTCTACCAATCAGTTTTCCTACTTGGATTCAAGGTGTACACTACCATGTGTTAAGACACTCTTTCCCATCAGCCTGGTCCCACAGCCGTGTCAGCCCCAAATGAACTCACAGAGACGCATATTAATTATAAATCTGTTGGCAAATGACTAGGGCTTTGCATTGGCTATCTCTGTCTTAATTATTAACCCATTTCTATTAATCAATGTATTTCTACATGGATGTATCTTACCAGGGAATATTTCACTCATGTCCTCTCTTCCAGGGATCACATTGCTACTCCTCTTTGCCTACACTTCCCAGAATTCTCCACATCTCCTAGACCTGCCTATCTTGCTACCCTATTGGCCACAGTGTTTTATTCATCAACCAATAAGACAAACATATATACAGAAAGACAACTCCCATCAACCATGCCTAGCTTTCTCACTCTCTCTTATTATTTTCCTCCCTCCCTACATTACTATCTCCCTCCCTCCCTGCCTCATTCTCGTTCTTTTGCTCTTTCTGTTTGTGTTAAAGAAACAGGATCTCATGTGACCTAGGTAGGCCCTGAACTCCTGATCCTTCCAGGTGCTGGGGTATAACAGATATCTTACCATACCCAGCTTTAAAAAAATCTTTATTGATTCTTTGGGAATTTCATATCATGCATTCCAATCCCACCCAACTCCCAGTCCCACATATCCAGTCTTGACTCTCATGGAAACCCACAAAGAAAACTTAAAAAGAAACAAGATATTATTTAAAAACTACACAAAGAAAACAACACAAAAGCAAGACAGCAACAACAAAAACAAACGGAGCAAAAGGAAAAACAAACACTTCACTCACCTGTCTTTCCTATCCTCCATCACCTCTTCTTTTGTAGTAGTGGCACTGGGAGCTGCAGCATGACGTAGAGTGGACCCTCCCATCCAAACAGCTTTTTAAGTAATTGCTCATTGCATAATTAATGAATTGTTGGTGAGGTTCAAGGCCTCTGGCTTCTGGTACACCACCAATGCTGGATCCGCACTGAAACTCCTCTGGGATATCCTGCTGCTACCCTGAGTCATGGAGATCCTGGATCTTTGTCTCTGCAGGGTTGGTCCCTCCATGAGCTCCAGCAGGTCACAGATGGGGTAGATGTTGGGATGGGACAACTCAGAACCCTGGATGTGTGCCTGGGTGGTAGCTGAGCTGGTTAGTCCATGACAGACATGCACCATACCCGGCTTTTATGAACATATTTTCAAAGCAGCTTTAAATACTGTTTTGGGTTATTGGTTCTCCTAACTTCCTGAAATGGTAGTTCAGCTTATTTTTTCCAGTCATGGAATTAAACAAATGGTCAAATCCCAGGCTTGCCCCTCCCTAACTGTGACACATTGGTCACAGTTCTAAGCCTTATCAACAAAAAGGGTGAAATTATAATAGAATTGCCTTAAGCCGATATTGTGAAGATTGAAATGAGGTTATTGCTGAAATGTTTAGCAGGGAGAGCAAGGTTAGGAATGTGAATCACATTGTCAGAACAGTGAAAACCAGTTCCTGAAGAGACAGAAAGTAAAAGATTAGAGGGAATTGTGCATACAGTCATAGTTGTAATATTTGCTCTGTCATTGGTGAGTGAACCTGTCCATCACCTGGGCTGCCTGTTCATGATTTGGACTCTTTGCACTGACTCCCAGATATTCCAACTCAGTGTCTAGAAGACTGCCAGGGATTTTCATTGCCAGTAACACTTGAGTGGACCCTGGACTACTAATATCCCACACAGTATAAGTCCTAATATTTAAATAAAAGCTTTAGCTTGGTTTCCTATCAGGTGATAATACAAATGCGATGAGGTGTTTTTAAGGAAAATTCAAGCTGAAATGGGAACAAAGAGTATAGCTTCCAGAATAAAACATTTTGTAGAGAATGTCAAGGTTCCTCTGTGCAGTGACTTAGGTTTTTCCCTCTTTAAACTTAGGATGTCTATGAGGGGACGGACAATCATCTTCTCCATTAATCAGCCCCCGTACTCCATCTTCAAATATTTTGATAGCCTCACCTTAGTGGCCTCAGGAAAAGTCATGTTTCACGGCCCTGCACAAGAGGCCTTGGAGTACTTCACATCTGCAGGTATGGCTGGCTTTTGCTGTGAGAGCTCCTTCATTCATAGGATCTGGGAGAAGAACAGGGGTTCTCAGGACTTTGGATTGACCCTCATGCAGACATGCTGTGTGTGGGTTTCTCCACATTAAAGACCTTTGGTTGATGTGGTGACAGGATTCTGTTAGTTGTGAGGCACAGGCTTGTTGTTCAGGTCTCTCTTCTTTCTCCTGTCCTGTATCACACCTGTGTCACAGTATTTTTACTGAACCACTTGTTCTGCTTCCCGGTCATGTGACCTTCTTGATTAACATGCCAGCCTCAGGCCCAGTTATCAGTCATTGGGACAGCTTTGGGAAGGCCCAGTGTCCTCATGTTCTTGCTCAAGTAGCAGATGGTGGTTTTCAGTTTTCCCCACTTGTGATCTGACTTGGAGGGGCTGGAGATAGCACTTAACTTAGTAACTTTGCAGTTCAGGCTTAGGCAATGCTGGCTCCTATAGAGGCTCAAGACTGACTGACTTTTGTGACTCATGATTGTCATCTGCCTGGTTTGTTCAGAGTCAGATTCAATGATGACATATTTCTTAGTGGTTCATGCTGTCAGAGACATCTTAGTGAGCTATGGATACATTTATGGATGATTCTCTCGATGCTAAATATAGATTTAAATATTTGCTGTCCATCACTCTTTTTGTTTTTTAAAGATTTTTATTTGTTTATCTATCTATCTATTTATTTATTTATTATGTATACAACATTCTGCTTCCATGTATATCTGCACACCAGAAGAGGTCACCAGATCTCATAACTGATGGTTGTGAGCCACCATGTGGTTGCTGGGAATTGAACTCAGGACCTCTGGAAGAGCAGTCAGTGCTCTTAACCTATGAGCCATCTCTCCAGCGCCTGTCCATCACTCTTATTTGTTTTTGATTAATCTTTGTCATTTAAAATTGTGCAAACATGGCCGGGCGTTGGTGGCACAAGCCTTTAGCACTTGGGAGGCAGAGGCAGGTGGATCTCTGTGAGTTCGAGGCCAGCCTGGTCTCCAGAGTGAGTGCCAGGATAGGCTACAAAGCTACACAGAGAAACCCTGTCTTAAAAAACCAAAAAAAAAAAAAACCCAAAAAAACAAAAATAATTGTGCAAACATTTATGAGTTTTTTGGAGGCCATATTCAAATGATTTTTCCATTGGAATAGTTCACATATGTATGTATAACATACACATAAATATACATATATTCATAAATGTATATAGGCATATATATATGACTGGGAAGCACATATTTTGAAATAGCATGAGCGTATATATAATAGAAAAGGATAAATTAGTGGGGGAGGGGAAGAGAAAGAAGTTCTTAGATTCTGTCTCCCCTCTCCTTTCCCACTCTCTGAAAGAGGGTCCTCAGGTTTGTGTTCATGGCCTACCTTCTTTGTAGATTACAAGTATGATTCCCACAACAACCCTGCAGACTTCTTCCTGGACATCATCAATGGAGGATTCTCTTCTATATTAGATACAGAGGAAGATGGCCATGAAGGTATGTGAGTCTTCTACTGTCAGACTTTTGCCTAACTGATTTCATTAAAACACAACTATGGTTCCTTAGAATAGAGTTTTTTATGTTAATTCAGCTAATCGACTTTGCAGTCTGTTTGTGCTTCCTGTTTTGTTTTGTTTTGTTTTGGTTTTTCGAGATAGGGTTTCTCTGTGTAGCTTTGCAGCCTATCCTGGCACTTGCTCTGGAGACCAGGCTGGCCTTGAACTCACAGAGATCTGCCTGCCTCTGTCTCCCGAGTGCTGGGATTAAAGGCGTGTGCCACCAAAGCCGGACATTCTTTCTGTTTTTTATTTAACTTATAAAAGTACATGTACTCATTGTTTGTCCTATTATTCTTTATATTGTTTTAGATAGTTTGCTTATTGTAGACAGACTCACTCTGAATGTGTGCCCCTTCTCACTCACATCCCAAGTATAGGTATTACAGGGTAAATTGACTAATTTTATGTCAATTTGACACAAGCTGAAGTCCTGAGATTGGGCTGTAGGCAAGCCTGCAGGGCATTTGCTTAATTAGTGAGAGATGGGGAAGGGCCCAGTCCATTGTGTGTAGGGCTGTCTCTGGGCTGGTGGTTCTGGCTTCCATAAGAATACCGGAAGAGCAGACCACAGGGAGCTAGTCATATAAACAGCACCCTCAATGGCTCTGCATCAGCTCCTGCCTCTAGGTTCCTGTCCTGTGTGAGTTCCTGTCCTGACTTCTTCAGTGATGCACCACCATGCAGAAGAAGAAGTGAGATACCTTGCACCACCCCAACTTGCTTTTGTTCATGGTGGTCCATGACAGCAATAGAAACCCTAACTAATACACAGGGCTATGTCACCATGTCTGGCTTTGTCTATAACATATTAAAAACCAGATATTTGGAGATTTATACATTTGTATGTACATTCATTTGAAGCAGAGAGCAGGGACCAGACTTGTAGGTTAAGAAGTGTAGATCCATCAGGGAAGAAGGACTTTGTTAAGAATCATGGATGGGAAAAGGCCATTCAGTTAGCTGTGCCCATGGGATAATGACAGTAGTCAGGTCAGTTAGGGACATTTTTCCAATCTGTAAGGGAATTACACAGGACTAGTTTTATTATGCTCAAATTGTGGTAGGTTGAAGATGTAGCTTGGCTGGTAGAATGCTTGTGTAGATTGCACAAAGACTTGAGTTTGGTTCCTAGCACCATATAACTGGGTGTGAAGGTGCATGCCTGTAATCAGAGTGCTTGAGACAGAAACTGGAGGACCTGAAGAAGTTTATGGTCACCCTTAGCTTCCTAGCATCTTCAAGGCCAGTCTAGGGTACATGAGACTGTCTCAGAGAAAAACTGATACATTATTTATGAAAAGTGTCTTAGAAAAATCAGTTAAATTATTGTCTGTTTCTTGACTTTATCCACTTTTATCCTAAAGCCGACAAATACAAAGAACTTTCTGAGAGACAGCACCAAGTCACAGAAACATTAAGCAATATGTATACCCAGTCCTCCTTATACAGTGAAATGAAAACTGAGCTGGATTCACTCTTGGAGGAACAGATGGCAGGGAGGACCCCCACCTTGGAGGAGATCACCTGTGTCACCCCTTTCTGGCATCAGCTCTGGTGGATTATCTGTCGGTCATTCAAAAACTTTCAGGGTTTTCCCCGGGTCACTGCGATTCAGGTAATCTGATGAGTTATTTTGTTGTATTGTGCAAAACTCAAGTGGGAGCAATTTGATTCTGAGTGAGTCTCCTTCAGGGTCACACTCATCTTCTACTCCCTTCCATGTATTTGTCCTCTCCTCTCTACTTGGCATGTAGAAATATGCAAAGCTGGGCAGTGGTGTCGCTCGCCTTGAGTCAGTCCCAGCACTCAGAAGTCAGAGGCAGGCTGATTGATCTCTGTGAGTTCAAGAACAGGCTGGTCTACAAACCTACACAGTGAAAACTTGTCTCAAAATAAAAAAAAAGAAGAAAAGGAAAGAAAGAAATACTCAAAGAAGCAAGTAGAAAACGAATAACGTTTCATTACAGAAAAAGTTTTTAGTGTTGGATTTTATTTAGAGGAACTATAATGACTAATCCCGTAGGAAATTTAATTCAGGGAGTACAAATGATACTTCAGCCCTCCTGGGAGTTCCTCACACCTGTCTACTTTAATTCACCCTGTGCATTTTTCAAGTTCAAGTCCAGGGAGAAAGTAAAGGAGGAAAAGGCTTTTTCTGATGCAACTTTTCCTGAGGGTGGATGGATGGTAAGTGGATAAATAGATGAAATTGTAGTGTGTCAGATGAGAGAATGGAGTTGGAGAAAGTTAAAGTAGAGAAGGGGTGGAGATGAGTGGAGAGGGGAAGGAGGGTTGATCTGTAGTTGAAATTGGGAGGTGAGGAAACAGGGCCATGGAACAGCTCTGAGCATCTACTTTTCAGCCACTTAAAGTAGAAAACTGTCCGTGCTCGCTGGCATCAGAGTTGAGATCTCAGTTTAGGTGAACACTTTTTGTCACTTACTTTGGTGTGTCCCCTAACCTCTCAGGTGCCTGTGTTCTCTTCCCCACTGTGTCATCTGTGTTGCAGTACCTGACCTGAGCTCTTCTCTGGCCCTTCCTAGTGGAGAACTGGGATTCCTTGCTTTTCCAGGGTCTGTCCTGTCAGAGCCTCCGATCTCAGAGATCTTAATTTTCAGTTTAACAACCAAGCAATCTATTGGCATGTGTGTTTTATATCAGGGACTCTGGCCAAAATATAGTGTTTATCTCACTGGAGAGAACTGGATAGGAAACAGTATGTATGTATGTATGTATGTATGTATGTATGTATTTTAATTTTCTTCTCTTTTTATTATTTTCACATTCCAAGCCCAGTTTCCCCTCCTTCACCTCTTTCTGACTGTTATTGTTTTGTTTAGACTATAAGTTTATTATAAAGGCCCGGCAGAACAGGGAGACTAAGAAGAGGAAAAGGGGTAAATGGCTGACCGCCATGGCCGGTCTCCATAGAGAGACAGAGAGAGCGCACAGAGCGCGGGACAGAGAGACAGAGAACCAGAGAGACAGAGGAACAGAGGAACAGAGCGGGACAGAGAAACAGAGAAACAGAGAGCGGGAACAGAGAGCGTAAAGGGGCAGGGACTTATCTTTTAAAGGGGTCCTCTGCATCTGTGTGCAGACTTAGTTCCCATGGAACCTTGGGCTGATCAGGGTACTGCCTGTTTCACCAGGTAACAAGGGCAGGCCAGCATAATGCCTGAACCTTTCACTGACTCCCCACTTCCCCAATCCTACCCCCCCATACACTCCTCAGAGGGGATAAGGCTTCCTTGGGGAGTCACCAAAGTATGAGATACCAAGTTGAGACCGGCCCAAGTCCCCCTGCCCCTCAATCATGTTGGGCAAGATATCCCACCATAGGTGGGATATCCCACCAAAAAGCCAGTTCATGTAGCAGGAATAAGTCCTGGTCCTACTGCCAGGGCCTACCAGCCCTGACAGATCAAGCCACATAACTGTCACACACTTTCAAAGGGCCTAGTTTGGTCCCATGCAGGTTCCCCAGGTATCAGTCCAAGGACTTTGAGGTACTCTAGCTCAGATAGCTGTCTCTGTGGTTTTCCCCAACATGCTCTCGACCTCCTTGCTCATATGAACCCTCCCCCCTCTCTCCTGCTGAGCTCCAGGAGCTCAGCCCAGTGCTTGGCTGTGGATTACTGCATCTTCTTCCATTAGTTACAGGATGGAGATTCTATAATGGGAGTAAGGCGGTTACTAATCTGATTACAGGGCAAGACCCATTCAGGCACTGTCTCCATTGTTGCTAGGAGTCTTAGCTGGGGTCATCCTTGTGGATTCCTAGGAGCTTCCCTAGCGCCAGGTTTCCTGCTGACCCCATAATGGCCCCCTCTATCATGTTATCTCTTTCATTGCTCTCCCTCTCAGTCCCTCCCCCAACTTGGCCATCTGCATCCTTCATGCTCCCATCCCCCATCTCCTCCCTTTTACCTCCCTCCCAGCTTACCCAGGAGATCCTAAATATTCCACTTCCTGGGCCCCTCCTTGTGTGTTCCTCTTAGGGCCCTCCTTCTTACCTAGCTTCTTTGGGGTTGTGGATTGCAGCCTGGTTACCCTTTGCTTTACCTCTAATATCTACTTACGAAGGAGAACAAACACACTGTGTTTGTCTTTCTGCATCTGGGTTACCTCATTCAGAATGTTTTCTTTTTTCTAAACCAATCCATTTGCCTGCAAATTTCAAGAAGTCATTGTTTTTTGTTTTGTTTTGTTTTATCTTCTGAGTAACAATAGATTGTTTAAATGTAACACATTTTCATTGTCCATTCTTTGGTTGATAGGCATCTAGGTTGTTTCCAGATTATGGCTATTACAAACCATGCTGCTAAGAACACAGCTGAGCAAGTGCCCTTGTGGTATGAATGTGCTTCCTTTGGGCATATGCCCAAGGGTGAAACCATATATCTTAAAATAATGAACAGTGTGTAGAATGCTTTCTACTCCTAATGGAAATGTTTTCTTTTTGTAAGACAATTATCATAGTCACGATGGCAGTGGCTGTGGGGACCACTTCACGTATCCTAAGAAATGATTGTACTGAAGGTCAAACCAGGTAAGCAAACTTGGATCCTCATTTTGATCCAAGCTCATATAAATCCATTAAGAATTGGAATCCATGACAATAACAGAGGAAACACTTTATCATGTGATAAAATGTTTTGGTACATTGAAAGCTGAGTGGAAGAACTCACTTATTCATGTAGGTTTGTGTGTAGATAGTATGGATCTATACACACCACACATTTCACATTTTACAATTTTAGTGTATGGAGCAGCTTCATGTTGTGTGACCACTACCACACTCTAAACATAGGGCATCCTTTATCTTCCCGAATGGAATCCCATAGATCTGAAAGAAGAATCCCCATACCACCCACTCCTGATTCCAGGCATCAACCATTCTACTTTCTGTCGTTGGCTATGACTAATGTGGGAGCCCTGAATTGGAGTCACACAAGTATGGTGTTTTGGTTCTGTTTTGGTCTTGTTCTAGTTTGTTTTGGCTGGCTTGTTCCCACTGGTGTAATGTCCTCAGGGCACATCAAAGTGTGGCATGTGTGGGGATTTCTTGGGCTCTGTAAGGCAGAATAATAAATAGTCCATTGTGTGTATTTGCTTCCATTCACTGTGACTGGACATGTGGTTTGCTCTCACCTTTGGCTGCTGTGAACCATGCTGTTGAGTGTGCAAGCACATGTGTTTGAGCCCTGGACTTTACTCTTGAAGGTAGAAAGCTAGAGCTGACAAATCATAGGCCATTGTGTTAACTTGAGGAACTTCTGCTCTGTCTCCAAATCCACTGTAATGTTTGTATCCTCAGGAGCAGAACATAGGGGCTCCAGTATGTCCACAGCCTCACTCAACCTATGTTCTTTCTTGTTTGGACTAAGATGTCTAAGAAAAATAGTTTGTGATCCACTCAATGTTTTATGAAGTGACTGAGAACCCATTTTCCTGTTTTAAATAGGAATGTTTTCCTTTCGCTCCAAAATTATTTATTTTGTTAGTGTGTGTATGTGTGGGCACGTGTGTGCTACAGCATGCGTGTGGAGGCCAGAGGACAATAAACAAGAGCTGACCCCCTCCACCGCAGGGATTTCAGGGGTTGTACTCAAGGTCATCAAGCTTGGTGGCCATCATTTTAGCTGCTGAACCGTCTCACTGGCTCTTAATTTTCCCTGCTGTTGAGTTATAGTTATTTTGTTTATGAGATGTGAATCCCCCTCAAACACATGATCCACAGATGTTTCTTCCCTTCTGTGTGTTCCCTTTTTACTCTGTTTATAATGCTGTGGTGCAGAAAGGTTGTTAGTTTACCTATTTATTCTCCTTTTATTGCTCAGGTGTCAATGTTCTTGAATTTATTTGGACTGTTTGAATGTGTGTGAGTTTGGGCTAATAGGATAAGACTCAAATTTTCCTAACTTGTTAAATAGATGTCACTTTTGTGGTCCTTGTCTAATTTGAGCTATAATGTAACTTTAAAGATATGCTCCCATGTTAAATCTTTTAAAGACTACATAGTCCAAACCTAGTTTAACACGAGAATCACAATTTTCAGAATTTTCACTGTATTTCATGTGTAGCACACCACTGTTTTCTCAACTGGGCTCCTGCTTGAGAACCACAGCCAGGGTACCTCCCAATAGGTAGAGAGGCTTGACTACCAAGGAAAAATGATTAAGAACTTCAGAGAGACAGAGAGAGAGAGGCTGAGTGAGAGAGTGTAGGTCCAGGTTTCTGTGAGACGCACTTCTGTTTATGTGGGTGTGTAAACATGTTCCTGTTGGTGAACATACATGTATCTGCATGTGGAGGTCAGAGATTGATGGCAAGTTTTCCTTGACCCTCCACTTTCTTTTTCAAGACAGTTCCCTCACTGAATATGAAGCTCATTGACTTGGCTAGGCTGGCTGAGTGATGAGCTACAAGCATCCACCTCTTTACCCTTCACTGGAGTTACAGATGTGAAGTTCTGTGCCTGGGTACTTCTACATGGACTCCAGGCATCTGAACTCAGGCTCTCTTGGCTGCATGGTAGACATGTTGGTGAATGAGCCAGCTCCACAGCCCAACAAATCTGTTTTGACGTGTGGAAAACAGCAATTAATTTTGGGGAAAAGAGAAAACATAAAAATCTCTTCTTCTGTGAATTTCCTTCTGAGTGGATCAGAAGTTAGTCTGCAGTGAGGTGAATGTTGCAGCTATTTCCAGTCTGTCGTTGTTTCACCTTCCCTGAAGACCAAGATCTGAAAGCTTTCCAGATCTTCTAACACTTAGTTTGCACCCTGTATAGACAGCAAATCCTAACCAAGCACAGCATAGACAAGAATATAGATGGTGTAGATCGCAGGATAGACGGTGTAGACCCCATCACAGGAAGCATTCACATATAAACTCTGAAAAACCATATGTGGAAATGTTCTTGGAAAATGCTGACACAAAGAAGAGCTTTATTAACTGTTTCTTCATATTCTTTTTAGAAATTGTGAAATGCTTTTAATTTGTGTTTTTCACTTCCTCTGGTACCTTTTTTTTGTAAGAAGTTGGACGGTGGGACAATGTGCTTTGTGTGTGGTTTATTTCAGTTGTCCTGATTCTTTTGGTTAGTGTGCTGGTTAATTTTTTGCCAACATGGCACCAGCAAGAGTCATATGGGAAGAGGAACCTCGATCAAGAAAATGAACCTATTAGGTTGGCTTGTAGGTGAGTCTGTGGGACATTTTCTTGATTAATAATGGATATGGGATGGCCCACCCCTGGGAGCACAGCTACCCCTAGGCATGTTGTTCTGAGATGTGTAAGAAACAGGCTGAGCGAGTCATGAGGGTTAAGCCAGTAAGGAGCACTGCTCTGTGGCCCAGGTTCCCTCTCTTCCTCCAAGGTTCTGCCTGACTTTATCAGGGTTAGTCTGTGACTTGAAATATGTAACCTGTGTAAGTTACATTCTCCTCAGATTACTTTTGGTCAGGGTGTTCATCACAGCAAAAGGAACATATGTAGGACAGTTGGAAATACTTCCTCAACATCATCTGTGGAATAAAGCTATAAATTATTTTTAGGATCAATATCAATATCTTCATTAATAGTGTTCAGGATGCCAGAGATGCTTCTCGTGTTTGGATCTAACTGTATAACTAGGAACTGGGTTTGAATTATGTGGCATATATGCTCCATTGGCTCAATAGCATTATAGAGTTGAGTTGGTAGCCAAACATTAAGGGGAAGGCATTAAAAGAAATAGTTGGATACAGACATTTGTCCTGTGCATACTTACATGCCTATTGAAAATCATTTACCCAAATGCATGTGAAGTCTGATGTTCATTGGAGCAGTAGGTACAGTAGCCAAGTTAAGGAATTTAAGTGTCCACCAACAGGTAACTGGTACAGAAAATATGACTTGGAATGCTACTTATCTTTAAAATGGGAATTTGTAACAATATGGATAGAATTGAAGATTTGAGAAATCTCATGTAAAGTAAAATAATCCAAATCCATAAAGACAAGCATGTTTCATTACATGTGGATTATAAGTAATTGACCCCCAGGCAGCATAGAGTCCGTTAGTAATGGCCAGGGCAGTCGGGAGTGAGGAGATACATAAGGCCTAAGAGTATAAAATCTGTTAAACATGAGAAGTAGGATTTTATCCTTTGAGATTAATTGTACAGCACATTCAATCCAGCAATTATTAATATACATTTCAAATTTCTGGGAATATATTTCTAATGTGTTACCATAAAAATGATGTATATTTCTGGTGATGGACATCATCTAATTTAGTTTGATATGATTATTGCACAAAATTGTTCATGAATCATATCAGTTTTGTATGTTAAATGTGTAGCTATAGGTTATCAATCTACAATTTTAATATTTAAAAATTCAGATCAGAAAGTAGATGTGGTATAAATGATTTAGTGTAGCCAGAGCCACAAGATTCCTAGTTTTGCTGATAAAAACATGAAAGTAAGCACAGACGGAACTTGAGGACAATTTTTGGAGACAGAGATGGAGAATTCCCTAAGCAGCAGGGAATGGGTGTGTGGGAATGGAAGCGTGGAGAGAGAGAAAGCTGTGCATTTAGTAAAGTTAAACAGATGATCCTTGAAAGCCAGACAGGCTCTTTAGGAGAGGAGGAGAAACCCAGGTCCCCTGCTCTGTGGTTGGATATGGAGTGCCCATGGATGATGGGGTACCTATGTCCTCTGCTCTTATGTTTGGATCTTTGAAGCAGAGCCACAGTTGTGACCTGACAGGCCCAGAACTTGTCATGTAGCCCAGGTTGGCTTCAGTCCCAGGTCTTCTCTGTTTGGTGACTGGGTTCCCCAGTTCTCTGCTCTATCACTGGTCATGGGATGCTCAGGCCCTCTGCTGTATGTTTGGACCTTTGAAGTGGGGGTCATTGTGACCTGACAGTCCCAGAACTTGTCATGTAGCCCAGGCTGTCCTCATCCTCTGTCTCCCAAGGTCCAGGAGTCATAGAGGTCATGCTTCCTCATCTTCTCAGAGTCTTACCCATTCTTAGGTTGTCTTTTCCTTTTCCATCCTTTCTCTTTAATCTGACCTTTGGTAGAGTACAAAACGGAAATTTTCTTTGATGTAGGAGGAAACTACTCTCCAATAAGGTCCCCCCTTCTCTGATCTGATGTCTAACCACCACTGTGTACTGAGATAAGGAGAGTCACTGACCCCTGACTGTCATTTGAAAAGGTGTTATGCTACAGGATGTTAGGCCCCAGTCATGCCATCTGTCTTAGAGGACCCTGACATGTGTGTCCAGGAAACAGATAAATGCAAAGGGCATTTTGTTCCCCTCTTCCTGCTAACCACCCCCTATCACATGGACCCAAATCATTTCTTCATAAGTAAGCATGACTGAATTCATTTTTGAGCTCTTTGGAAACCATACAGGAAGTTGTTAGCCTGTTTTAGGGATAATCAGGGCTTGAAAGAAGTTTCCACAGTCCGTGTCTGTAGTAAGCTGTTGAGTGGGGATTTCCCTGCTGTTTCATTCTTACCCTTCTGTAAAATCAAAGTGGCCAACAGAATATGCAAATGTCTGGGAGTTTTATTTGTCTTTATTTTTCTTTCTTTATACATTAGGAATGATGCTTACTAACTTTGTTAATTATATTAAGTGTTGTTATCAAATTGTTATATATTGAAGGACATACTTGAATTAATAGATACCACTGTGGAGACAAAGTAAAATAATCATGGGACTCATAACCCCTGGCCTTTTAAACAGAAGAGTTCCACATTTTCCTTATTTTTTAGGTAATTATTTTATTTTTATGTGTATGTGTGTTTCCCTACATGTATGTCTGTGTGGCTGTCGGAAGGGGGCATTGTCTTAGTTAGGGTTACTATTTGTCTGATTAAATATATGACCAAAAGCCAACTTGTGGAAGAAAGTGTTTATTCATCTTACACTCCCACATTGTAGTCCATCATTGAAAGAAGTCAAGACAGGAACTCAAACTAGTCAGGAATCTGCAGAGGCCATGGAGGGATGCTGCTTTATGGCTTACTCTATAGAGCTTGCTTAGCCTGCTTTCTTATAGAACTCAGGACCACCGGCTCAGGCATGTGCTGTGGATGCCTTTCTGTATGCTGTGATTATGTATTTCTCTCATTTGTTGATAAATAAAGCTGCTTTGGCCTATGGCAATGCAGGATAGAGCCAGATGGGAAATCCAAACAAAGATAAGCAAGAAAAAAGGGTGGAGTCTGAGCAATGCAATCCAGCCACCCAAGGAACAACATGCCAACAGACTGGTAATGACATGGCCATGTGGCAATACTTAGATGAATAGAAATGGGTTCATTTAAATGTAGCTAATAATAAGCCTGAGCCATTGGCCAAGCATTTGTATTAATATTAAGCTTCTGAGTGTTTATTCAGGAAATAGCAGGTGGGAGACAAATGTCCAAATCCAGGGATACACCAGGCACAGTGGGCTGGCCCCATCCCCATCCATTAGTAACTAAGAAAATGCCTTACAACTGGATCTTATGGAGGCCGGTTCTCATTTGAGGTTCCTTCCTAGATAACCCTAGCTTGTGTCAAGTCGGCATAAAATCAGCTACCACAGGCTCCCTTGAACTGGAGTGACAGATGGCTGTGGCCCACCATGTGGGTGCTGCCAACCAAACCTGGGTCCCTTGCAAGAGCAGCAAGAACTCTTTACTGCTGAGCTGTCTCTCCAGTACTGCGTTGTTTTTTTCTTTTTTTTTTAAAGAATAGATCTGTATAATGTCATTCAATCTACAAAACAAGGTGCATTATAAAGAAACCATCCTAATGTTGAATTTCCTGTTGCTTTTGCCTCCCATTTCCCTCCTGGCAGAGCCAACCTGCTTTTCTTGCTCACCATCTTCCAGGTTATCACAAGCATATCTGCTGGGGAGCTCTTCGTGATCGACACGGATCGATTTCTGTGAGTAGCCCCTGCCCCAGGCCCAGGCATCCGAGGCTGGTGATCAATTGCTTATGTTCATAGTTGGGCCTAGCATGTTATCTCATGAATTACCAGTCATCCCTCCTTTTTATTTATTAATTTATTTATTATTTTATTTATTTATTTATTAGCTGAAAATAAACACATTATGAAATTTTGTGTTTATCATATGATATCATGATTTTTGAAGTATATAAAGAGATTACTAATGTTAATGAAAACTGTGTGGGAAATCAGGAGCAGAGGTGTCTGCTGCTCAGAGAAAGTTTCAAAATTGGCATGAGGTCACCAGATTGCACTGCTGCAGACAACACAGCAGGAGGGGAAATCCAGGAAATTGATGACCACACAAAGATGTCAGGGGTCATAGAGCTTCCGTGTAGTGGGTTCAGCAGCTCATTGGAGCTGGAGAGGTACAGCTGTGTAATAATGAGAGTGTGCACAGACTGGTGATGGAGGGGTGGAAAGAGCTAGAAGGCAGCTGTGTAGAAAGAGCTGTTACCTCCTGTGTTTCTCAAACATGGAAGAACCTTTTCCTGGTGGCCTGGGCTTAGGAATCACTGCTCACAAAGATGGCCAAGATTTGCTCCAAGTATATGCCAAGGAGAGGAGACATCAGAAAGGGGCCGAGAGTCTCACTCAGTTGGTAGAGTGGTTGCTTTGTGTACATATAATCCTAGGTGAGATTCATGATACCACATAAACCTGAGCATGGCAAGTAGTCCTGTAAGGCCAGAAGCAGAAACAGGTAGGAGAATGGTCATTCGTGGATACATATGGAATTTGAGGCCAACATACATTTAGTGGTTTATTGTAAAAAAATGAAACAAAAACAAAGAAACAACAACAACAACAACAAATGAGAGTTACAATGAACTCACTGTGAGGGGAAGAGCTTGGGATTTGGAAGAGCCAGGAAGGGAAAGGATTAGGTTTGGTATCTGGTAATGACTCATGGTTGTAAAAGAGACTACTGAAGGAATAAATCTGTCCTAAAATGAGAGTGGCTGAAGAGAAGGATGTATTGTCCTGAAGTTGCACTGTGACCTCAAAGTGACAGTGTTACCTTCTTCATAAGAACTGGAAGGAGACTCCATGACCACTGTCTGAGGTGAGGTACTAATGAGCTGTTCCTCAGGGAGCCAGCTTCGGAAGGGGGCAGACTCTGAGGAGAGTGGGCTCATCAGACTGTTTTCCTGGAGAGGCTGTTGTGTGGACAGAGTGGACAAAAGAGGGGAGAGTTCCCTGATGGGGAGAATCATAGTGAGGATGTAAAAAGGATGCTGGCCTAGAGATACTGGTCCCTAAGATGGGGACCTGTATGGGAGTCAGCCTGGAGCATAGGGACACTGTCCTGTTAGGTTCCCTGTGGTAGCAGAAGTCAGTATAGCCAGCATCTCACCTGCACCTTCTCAACTAATCTAAGAATGTATAACATGATCTTTGTCTCTGTAGACATGAGCATACCAGTGGATACTACAGCATGTCATCATATTTCCTTGGGAAATTGCTGGCTGAGCTGGTACCCAGGAGGTTATTGCCAAGTATTACATTTACTGTTATCGTATTCTTCATAGCAGGTAAGTGACAAAGCAAGAGAATGCATCTTTACTCTTGGGGGAGCATGTTTTGGTTTGTAAAACTGTGGCAAGCCTAAAGTAGAGAAGCATAAGTAGAAAACCATGTCTCCACCATAGGCTATCTAACACAAGTGTTCAGTGAGAGGAAAGACTCCAAGACTTATTCACAAAATACTACAAATGCTGTCTGTGTAACTGTGATTTAATTAAGAGATTCTGTAGTATGATGACTGAATAAATAATATACATTTGAGACAGTGCCAATGGAGCAAAGCCAATTATTACATATCTTTCCATATATATTTTGGGAGCCTACTGGCTTGATCCTAATGACTTCCTCAGCCTGCTTTCTTATAGAACCCAGAACCTCCTGCCTAGGGATAGCATCATCCACAGATGTCTAAGACTGCCCACATGAATCATTCATCAAGAAAATGCTGGCACAGGCTTGCCTCAGGGCCAATCTAATGCAGGCATTTTTTCTCAATGAGAAAATCTTCCTATCAGATCCTAGCTTGTGTTATATTGACAAAAAAAACTACCAGTACAGTCCTGACTCCAGTTTCATTACTAATACAATTATATGAACACAGGAAATGTGGACATGAACATGTTCTACTGCTGATTTCTCCTGTAAGAGAATGCAGTAGAAATTTAGCCAGTTGTGTTGCCTGTAGGTCTCCATGCCAGGATCCCATAAATGGCTCATAAGTATGTGTAGAGGAGAACAGGTACTATAAGGAAAGGTATTTTGTGGCAAGTATAAAAATAAAACCATATGATGGGGCCGAAGAAAGGCTCATTGGTTAGGAGAACATGCTGCTCCTCCAAAGTCCCCAAATTTGGTTTCCAGCATCCACATGATCAGGTGGCAGAGGCAGACCCAGAGAAGTTGGGTGGCTATGAAGCTGTTACTGGTCTTGTTGGCTATTAAAGTATTATCTGAAATATGTACAATTCCCCTGACTTAGGAAGAGGAACTGACCTCACTTTATTTCTTTCTAAGGGATAATAACAGATGCAAAGGGTTTCTTCACTATGTTGTTTACTATCATGATGTTGGCATATTCTACCAGTTCCCTGCCGCTGTCTATAGGAGCAGGGGAGAATGCAACAGCTGTACCCACAGTACTTGTGACAATCTACTTTGCATTCATGCTGGTGAGTGTGAACTGTGTTTTAGTGAGAGGAAAAATTTCCTTGTGTTCCTTCTTGAACATGTACATGCTTGACACATCAGGATTTGAGACATGAGGCCTATGCTAAAGCTTATTATGGTCTGTAGGAGAGAAGGAGCAGCCTCTCCTCCCAGGCTTTGTGGCTACTGCTCTGATATCAGTTTGATGAGTAAGAAAACAAAACAAGACCCAAGGAAACAAAAAAATAAAATAAAACTTTCTTGGATGGACAAGTACATGTGTCCCAAGTTGTCCCCTTTGGATCATCATTTCTGCCTTTAAAATTAATTCTCAAAAGGAACCTAATTATGCCTCATTCTCTAAAGGGTATACATAGTATTGGTAGAGTTCACTTTCTTTTTACTTTTGATAAGTGTGCTTAGAAAACTCATGTGGATAATTGAATACTTGAAAACTGTGATAACTCTACAGCGTGTGCCCATGGAGTGCTTGCTACTCCTGTGAGGCAGGTCATCCCCAGGCTCAAGTATCCTTTTCTTTTGAGTGGGATCCTGTCCTACCAGAGCAAATGGCATGTTGCCCTCTGTATGAGAGGAGGACACATGGATGGTAAACTGTGCTAGAGTCTGTTGCTCTTGTTCCTAGGTGTACACAGGCCCACTGAAAGCCTCTTATCATTAGAGGAGACTAATTATTCCTTACACAAAAGGGGGATGGGTCCTCTCACCAATGGTAATGACACCTCTAATGATTGATGGTATCTCCAGCAGTTTTGTTGTTTAGAATTGTTCTGCTAATCAGGGTCTTTTGTATTTCCATGTAAAATTTAGTATTTTTTTAATTTATGTGAATTGTATTATAATTTTGATGGGAGTTGCATTTAATCTGTTGATTGCTTTTGGTAGGTTGGATATTTTCATATTTATCCTACCAATATATAAGCATGGGAGGTCTGTCTATCATTTAGTATCTTCAGTTTTCTTTTCATTATCTTAAGGTTTTTATTATATATGTATTTCATTTAGTTAGATTTGTTTCAGGATCCCCTATCCTTCCCCCTCCTTTTGTGATTTTTGTGAATGAGATTGTTTCCCTTATTTCTTTCCCACAATGTTTATAATTTATACTTAGATAAGCTCCCGAATTCTCTGTCATGGTGTTTTATCACAGCCACAGGAAAGGAATTAAGACAACTGGTTATTGTATAAAGTTTCTATGTGGGACCTGATGAAGGCAAATGTTGTATTTCCTGTATAAGCATTTGGTCAGGTGAAGTCTGACGCATGCAAACACAGTCACTGTTTTGCATATTGTAAGGTACTCAAGAGTAGATAGGACAAGTTTATTGTGAACTCCAGAGCTGTCCCTTGTCCATCCCCATCAGTGCTTTCTGGCATCTCTGTTGTGGTTCTGTGGTTTGGCAGCTTTTTAAAAATGGGGACTTGGCACTTTCTGTGTGGTTTATCAGTTCTAGGCTTGAAGTTGTCTGAAGGTGGTATTTTAATTGAATCCAAAATTATTTCTAATGTCATGAAGAGAGATTCAAAACTCATAAGTACCAAGACTTATTGATCCTTGGAAGTAGAAGTGGATATGTGATATTCAGTATTTGTCCTACTTAGGGTTTCTATTGCTGTGATGAAACAACATGACCAAAAAGTTGGGGAGAAAAGGATTTATCTGCCTTACACTTTCATATCACTGCTCATCATTGAAGGGGGTCAGAATAGGAACACAAACAGGCATGAACCTGGAGGCAGGAGCTGATGCAGAGACCATGGAGGGTGCCACTTACTGGCTTGTTTTAGTGACTCACTCAGTATGCTGTCTTCTAGAAGCTAGGATGGTCAGACCAGGGATGGTAACACACACTATTGGTCTGGGCCTTGTCAGCTCAATCACTAATTAAGAAAATGCCCCACTGGCTTGCCTATATATAATCTTATAGGAACAGTTTTTCTTAAATTTAATTTTACTTAATTAACATTTTTTATTTTACATACTGACCACAATTTGCCCTCCCTCCTCTTCTATTCCTGCCCCTGACTCCTATCCACCCTTTCCCCATCCACTCCTTCTCTGTCTTCATTTAGAAAGGGGCTTGCACAAAGCAAGTCACATGAAGTTGAGGGAGGACCGAGCACCTCCTTAGAGAAATTTCTTAATTTTGGTTCTCTACTCTACAGTGATTGTCACTTGTGCCCAGTTGATAGAAACAACCCTAGACAGTTTTCTTCTAGCATGTGTTCCTAGATGGCAGCAGTTTAATTAGAATCATCACTACAGTTGTCCTGTCATCTTGTTAAAGATTCAATCAATCACGTCTTTTGAAAATATATGAAACAAATGATTATTCTGCTCTCAATATCACCGTCCCCTGAATTATGCAGTATCAAGTTTATAGTTACATAAATTAGATATTATAAGGAATCTAAAGAGAATTTTAAATATGTAGGATGGGCGCATTTAAAATTACAGAATGTTTACTGGTTGCATGTCATTTTCAAGATAATGTAATTTTTGTAGGTTTGGTTTCTGCAGACGGGTGGCGGTACCTACTTTTAAAAACCCACAAAGACCCTTGACTTTGCAGAGTGAAGAATTCTATTTCTGTTTATAGTTAACTGAAAGAATTTTTTGTCTCTTTTTTAATTTAAGTTACAAGCACAATTGAATTACATGACAATCCTAGTTCCCTTCTCCCTCCCCTCCTCTCTTACCACCTCCCAACTAAAACACTGCCTATCACATATCCTTTCTTCTAATCTATACCTGGCTCAAACTTTCTGCTCCCTCATGTCCTCTGCATCCTTCCTCTTCTTCCCTTCTCATTCTCGTAGCTCCCCCTGCCCTCTTCCCATGCTCTCAATGTGCTCAGGGGATCTTCACCCTTTCCCCTTCTCCAGGGGACAAAGTTTGACTCTTTTAGGGTCCTCCTTGTTTACTAGTTTCTCTGGCAGTGTGGATTGTAGGCTGGTAATCCTTTACTCTATGTCTAAAATCCACATATGAGTGAGTACATACCATGTTTGTCTTTTTCTGGGTGAGTTACTTTTCTCAGAATTGTTTCTGCGAGTTCCATCCATTTTCCTGCAAATTTCAAGATTCCATTGTTTTTTTCTGCTGAGTAGTACTCCATTGTGTAAATGTACCACATTTTCTCTATCCATTCTTCAGTTGAGGGGCATCTAGGCTGCTTCCAGTTTCTGGCTATTACAAATAGTGCTGCTATGAGCATCGTTGAACAGATGTCTTTATTGTATGAATGTGCCTGAAAGAATGTTTTAAAGAGCTGGTCTGAGCAGAAATGGTCAGAAAGATGAAGGGGTCTTGAAGAAGATGATCTTGTCTAGAATTCTTAGCCAAAAGAATGGTTCTAATTCGTGGTTTTGCTCTTCACAGTTTTTCTCGGGTCTGGAAATATATTCAGGAAGCTCACTACCTGGGCTTTCATTCATTCAGTACTTTAATATTCCTCATTATGGATTCACAGTAAGTTGTCCTGTCTGTCACTGTACTTGGCTTCTCCAACTGAAGCGACTGAAATGATTCCCAACCAAGTCCATTCCGCAGCTGTAATCTCTAACCAGCTGCTGCCCAGGATTCTCCTTCCAGGAGCTAAAGATGAGAATCTTCCTGTTGGTTTTCCCAAAGGCCAGTGAGTCCTCTTGGGTTTTCCCCAATCATGTGTTACTAGAGGGAGATAAATGGTGAGAAAAAAATCCCAGGGTAAAGAGGAAGGATAGACAATATTATGAAAAGCACACAGTTGTGATTCTACCCAATAGGGAAATAATGAAAGGTTCAGGGACTGTGATGCATAGTTTACATCAGGAATCTAAAAGAAACAGAAACCAAGTCATACCCACAGCCATCCTGACTTTGCCAAGCTTTCTCTGCAGTAAAGTGTGTATTAACAGACTTTCTTTTCCCCATAATCACAACTGGTTTTGACGAAAAGAAGCAAGAAATATTGCTACTATGAATCAATAGCATTGTTTCAATTACAGTGTTTCCATGTTATAGACTGGGCAGAGAAGGATGTGCCTGAGGTAATCTAGTTAAGAGTCCACCTCTTAGTATTTGGGAATCTCCTTCATTTCAATCCTAAACCTCCTGTGTGGGGGAGGGGCACTGCTTTGCTGGGCACACTGAACTTGGTGGGTTTTGTTTGTTTAAAATATTTTTGAACCTGGCGGTGGTGGCTCTTTAATCCCAGCACTTGGGAGACAGAGGCAGGCAGATCTCTGTGAGTTCAAGGCTAGTGTGATCTACAGACTGAAATTTGAAATTACAGTCAAGATTGAATTAGAAGTTATAGCTGTGTTTATTCTTTGGAAACTTATAAAAATATTTGTCTGTCCTGTTTTTGTTTGTGTTACAGGCTTTGCTGCACAATGAATTCTTGGGGCAAAACTTCTGTCCAGAACACAAAACAGCAGAAGTCAGTAGCTGTCGGAACTATGTGATGTAAGCTCTAGTTCGGGGTCACAATGGGGACATAGCATGTGCCTAGACTTAGAGTGGAAACCCATCCTTTCAGGATGAACACTCTGTCCCCTGCCTATTCCCCACAGGGAGTCATTGTAACCAATGCACATGCTGCTGTGTTTCCATCCTACTGCTCCGTGTTTAGACAATGTGTAGAAAGGGTTCTTTGGGCCTTTAAAAAAATATTTTGATGCCTTGATTTTGGGTGTGAGTTCCTTGTTGCAGGTCATTTGAATCTGACATAGGCTGCTCAGACAATTTACATGGGCATTCATTCTCCACATGTGTAGATTATGGCTCCTGTGAGCAGAGCCCAAGAATGTCAGGGCAGCAAGGGCAGATAGGGATGAGCTGTGCTTGCCAGATTCCAGGGTCTTCCCTTTGTCTCATACTCTAGAAGACTTCAAGAAAGCAAGGGCCAGTGTGTGTGTGTGTGTGTGTGTGCGTGTGTGTGTGTGTGTGTGTGTGTGTAAAATGTTCTACCACAGGATATGTCCTTCAATGAAAGAAATACATGTTTCAGTATTTTGAGAAAGAAATCTTATTTTTGTCTAATGCCATTAAAATAGAAACACAGGTTTATAATAAAATTACAGTGTATTGTTTTAACATTACAATACATCCCATTCTATGATTGCTGTCATTGATTTGATTTTGTTATATCAATGAGAGAAGATCATACTGAGATGTTAAATCTCTCATGAATGTTCAAAATAATAATGAATAATAGTAACCCAAATTTATGTTTGAATTATTGATAAGAAAACAAGTATGGCAGAGGGGATATCTAATCTCCCAGGTCTCCTCTCTGCTGGTGTGATCTGGCATCCTTGCAATGCAAATTCTTTACCAGTTTCTTGTCAGAAGGATGGGGATGGGTGAAGTGAAATCACAGAGGATCAACCACCGACCTCATCTTCATAGGAGGAAGAAATCTGCCCTTTTAGCAGATTTGGGAATGTGACATTCTAAGAGATATACAGGATGGAGACACACACAGGCATGGAGATACAAAAGGATGGTGACACACAAAAGGGAGACACAGAGATGGAGACACACATGATTTGAGACACACAGGATGGAGACACAGAGGGATGGAGACACACATGAGTTGTGAAACACAGGATGGAGACACACAAGCATGGCTGTACACAGGATGGAGACACACAGGCATGGAGACACACAGGAATGGAGATACACAGGGATGGAGACACACAGGGATGAGACACAGGGATGAAGATACACAGGAGATAATTGTAGTGTAGCCAGAATTTTAGCAGCAGCTGCTTTTCTACCCTGTGTCAGGGTTTCTGCATCCTGCTGTGCTCCAACTGCTACAAGGCTCTGTCTGTAGCCATGGCCTCTCGGGATGTTCCATAGCTGAGTGTACGTGGTTGTCACTGCTCTCTTAGTACAGGAGCTGACAGGAATTGACTGACTTCTGTCACAATCCCTTAGTCTTCTCTGGTCCTCAGTCTAGAATTATTGCTGTGTTCTTTTGCATGACTGTCTACTGAGTCAGCTGAATTGCATAAAGCTTTGATCTCTTAGAGTGTCTGTGTGTGACATTAGGAAGCTGAGGCTTTCCCTTCAGGAGCAACAGGTGCTTCATCCAAGCCTTTGTCCATTGAAGAGAGAGCAACATTGTAGATTGAGAAATGAATGACATGTAAAGACAGTGAAGACCACAAATTTGGATCTTCGTGTGACTCAAACTTGCCCGAGTTTACTAAGCCTCCTTCCTCTGTGCTTCTTAATAGATGTGACAGCTACACCTCTTTGGATCCCTTTTGAAATTAACAAAGGGACCTGATTCAAGTAGTTTAGATTTCATAATATATAACAAAATAGTAAATTCATCATTACTGCTCTAAAATAATAAGAAGAAATTTTTAATGATGGGTTGAAACTTCTAATGAGTTTTTAGAAGGAAGTGAATTGCTGAATGAGCTTTGACATTATTTTTGCTTGTGTTGAATTACAGATGCACTGGTGAAGAATTCTTGATGATCCTGGGCATTGACCTCTCACCCTGGGGCTTCTGGCAGAATCATGTGGCCTTAGCTTGTATAATGATTATCCTCTTATCCATTACCTATGTTCGGTTATTAGCACAGAAGAAAGTAGAAGTTCTTAAGTCTGGCTGGAGGAAGTTTCAACAGTTGTTTAAAGAGATGTGATTCCAAACTATTCTAACTACCTATACTTATATTCATGGACAAATACTACAGCCAGCATCACCCAGATGAGATTCCTACTGTAATGAACTGTGATGAGTGCAGAGACTTGTGGCTGCTCAAGGTACCAGAGTGATACTTTAGTGCTTCACCCTAAACAGGACACCTATGTCACACCCTCCCTAAAGCTTACAGCTGTGTGGAAGAGGGGTGTAGTGATACAGAACTCAGAAGATGAAAAAAAAAGGCAGGAAATGTGGGCATGGCACACAAGCATTGCAACCATGCTCTGTCTCACAACACCTACAGCTACAGGACAGGGTCTCTCATCAGCACAGCAATGGTTGGAGAGGGACTCAATGGGACCATACTCCCTTCGGCTGAACAATTGCTACTAATGGATTATGGAAGACAGACTGATTTCACACTGACACTCAGAGGAGAGCCAGCTAGGCTCCAGTGGATAGTCTAAAGCCCAGGGTTCCACAGACAGTTCTGCTTAAACTCAGTGAATCACAAGGTAATACCCAGATACGAATGTGAGAAAGGACTCATAAAGAGGGGCATTTGAAGGGGTTGTAAAGGAGATAGGAAAGTGGGAGGGAGTGAGAATGGCTGAAATGCATTATATACATATATTGAGTTTTCAGTTTTTAAAAACATTATTATAAATATAAGAAGGAACTTTAGTGTAAATCATCTAACTAACATTTTTATATATGTTTTCTATTATACCTTAATTCATCAATGACTATTTCTTTTAAAGTTTACAAACACAACACATTAAATTATAAGTAAAAGAATCTTAGGCTCAAATTAATGTTATTGAGTATTGTATGTTAGTTCATTTCATTGATAATAATCATTAGAGGCAATGAATCAAATTGTATGACCTGGAAAAGGAAAACTTGTCCTAGAAAATCTTACATTCCTAAGATCATTTGTATCGATTTGTTCACCTTTACAGTAAAAACATAAAGTATCATCCTCCAAATGTAATAGCCAATAAATCCTACACCAGCCGATATCTGCTCCATAAGAAATATACCAATTCTGTTTTAAAAGCCTGGTTCTAAACCATGTTATAAAAACTATCTTACTTCTAAGAATAATAAAATAACTCAATGAACTTGATGTGGTTCATGCTTGCTGTCATCACTTGGGAGGAGGAAGACAGGAGTTTAAGGTCAACCTCAGCTAGATAGTATGTTTGAGGCTACCATGGGCTAGAAAAGACTACCTCAAAACAAAAAAAGAAAAGAAAAACAAACAAAACAAAAAACCCCACATAGGGGGTTGGAGAGATGGCTCAGAGGTTAAGAGCACTGGCTGCTCTTCCCGAGGGCCTGAGTTCACTTCCCAGCAACCACATGATGGCTCACGACCATCTCTAATGAGGTCTGGTGCCCTCTTCTGGCCTGCAGGGACACATGCAGACAGAACATTGTATACATAATAAATCTTTTTTAAAAACCACATAATAAGTGACCATAAAACATCTTTAATGAGCTCATTAAATAAGATTTATGGATGGTGTCTTGTTAGAGTATCTATTGATGCAATGAAACACCATGACCTAAAAGCAAGTTGGGGAGGAAATGGTTTAATTGGCTTGCACTTCTACATCACTGTTCATCACTGAAGGAAGTCAGATTGGAAACTCAAACAGGGCTGGAACCTGGGGGCAGGAGCCGATGCAGAGGCCATGGAGGGGTAATGATTATTGGCTTGATCTTCATAGTCTGTTCAGTCTCTTCCTGATAGAAGCCAGGATCATCATCCAAGGGTTAGCCCCACTCACAGTTCCTGGCCATTCCCACTGATCATTAATTAGAAAACACCATATAGCCGGAATTTATGAAGGAATTTCCACAACTAAGGCTCCTTTCTCTCTAATGAGTCTAGCTTGTGTCAATTTGTCATAAAACCAGCCAGGACAGGTGGATACATCTCTGTGGTGATGTTATGGCTCAGGAATCATGATAGGGGCCTTTGGCTATCTAAGCTGCACTAAAAAGACAGGTTCTTGTGTTACAAAATGGCTCTTATGACTTTTCAGGGGTGCTCTAGTGTTTTCGGGGTTAACTCAGTGGTTCATAATTTTGCAAGCAGCTCTCCTGAGGAAAATTGCAGAGACACAGATGTTGAGGCCCTGCCTTGCACATCAGCATTTGTAGAAACTACCTCTTGGAATAATTGCCCACTCCTAGAGCTGCTGGTTCCCAAGATACTTCTAAGCTGCCATACTAGGCTAGTACTCAGGTAGGCGACCTTCAGCCTCCATCCTGTTCTCCATTCTGGTCTCTCTAGACTTACCCTCAGTCCTGCTGCAGCCTGTCCACATGAGCCACCACACACACCAAGCCTATCTCTACCCACTAGTGTAGCATGAGTTTTCTGGCCCATCTGGGTTCCGCTGCCCTTTAGCCTCAAATAAACACACGGATGCTTTTTAGTTATAATTCTGTTGGCTTCTTATGGTCTACCTCTGTCTTAATTATTAATCAGTGTCTATTAATCTATGTATTTCCACATGTTAGTGGCTCACCAAAGAACGCCTGGATCTGCTACTTCATTGCTGGCTACTTGGCAACTCCTGTCTGCCTATACTTCCCAGAATTCTCCTCCTCTGGCAGCCCAGCCTATCCTTCCTGCCTGACAAATGAGTGCTTTATTCATCAACCAATAAGAGAAACATATATACAGAAGATATTCTCCTATCACACTAGGGACCCAGTCTTTGTTAATGACCCAGAGAACTCCTAGCTCTTCCCTGCCACCTTGTCATTATTCCCTTCTAGCCAAGCTCTATTCCTCTGTGAGTATTGTTGACCTGCAGAACAGTTCTCCCAACAGGCTGCAATTTAGGACCCACACATTGGCCATACTTGGCTAGGACCAGACTGGGCAACAGCAACCAAAAACAGATCATAATTCTAGATGCCTAGATCCTAGTGCAGAAAACACAAATATGACCAATCAAGACATTATGCATCTTCCAGTTCCAGCAGCCCTATCAAAACTCTGAAAAATGATCTTCTGTTAGATCCAGCTAGAATACTCTTGGTTATGGACCCAAAGAGCACTACGTATTACTTCAGAGATACTTGCTCATCCATCATGCTCTCTGCTTCTCTATTCATAACACCTGAAGTTGAAAACAGCAGCTATTTCCATCAACTGGTAAAGAGATACTGAAACTGTGGTTCATTTACACAATGAAACATTATTCAGATTTTAAGAAAGATGAATTTAAAGGTAAATGAATCCATGAAACAGCCTTATTCTGACAAAGTTCACCCAAACCACAGAAGACAAAAAGTGCATGCTTTATTTTATATGTGGGTGTTAGTTTTTAAGCTTTAGACATGTGTGCTTCAATATGAATAACAACAGACATTAAGTAGCTAGTAAGGGACCAGGGGTGATGAGAGAATCTTTCAAGGAAGGGCAAATAAGAGTATAGTGCTATAAAGAGGTAAATTGAAAACTAGACTAGGAGAATTCAATATGGAGGGATATGGGAGGATAAGGTAAGGGAAGGAATAAGAGAAGGAATGCCTAACACTAAAGGCCATTTGAAAAGCCATATACAAACTTACTGCCATAGAATCACCCTAAAATATACACACATATGAAAGGAATTTAAATGGAGTCACAATATAATGGAGGAGACAAGCCCCCAACAAGGCATTTTATGTCACTAAGTAACATGTCACCTTGAGTGCAAGTAATGGATTATATCATGTTGAGCCATTGGTCAAAGGAGTTCCTATAGATCTCAAATATCGAAGATTATTCAAAAGGCTATCCACAACCTGATAGTAGAACCCTGTTGCTGAAGACCCCACTTATGTCATTGAACAAAGAAAAGTCAAGCAGGTACGAAGTTAGAATCTCACTCCCACTGCTATCATTGCTGGTGTTTGAAGGAAATTTGAAAGCTCCTGGAGGAGAAGAATAACCGGTATCACCAGAGACAAACTCTGTGACCTCCATCAGTAACATGAATACAAAACACACTGGTACAATAGTGGCACAGACCTTATGATTGTAATCAACCACCTTAAAAACAGGTTTAAGGTCCACTATAGAAAATGAAGTTTATATCCGACACTGCTGAAGTGGACAAGAACCTGAGACTACATTGGCCCTGGGCTTAGCGGAAAACCTATTATTTGTCTGAAGAAACATAGCATACAGTGATTCTTAATGAGATATTGTTGTATCTATAGACCAGAACGTTGCTCAACCACCATCAGAGAAGAATCTTCTTGCGGTAGATGGTAATTTACAAGGAGGTCCAAAACTGGACACTGTATAGAGACTGGGTACTTTGTAGCACACAGCCCTACATGGGATGTCTTCATCAAACCCATCCCATTGAGGCTCGGAGGTCTGTGCAGAAGAGGAGGTAAAAAGGTTTTAAGAGCCAGAGGTGGTAGATGACTCCAAGGAAAGAGCATCTTCAGAAACAACAGGACTAATACACACATGAACTCACAGAGATTGTGTCTGCTTGTATAAGACCTGCACAGCTCAAGCCAGACAGAATCCTGGCACTGAAAAGGGGAAATAGACACAAAATCCCACCCCTAGCCCAGAAGATATGTGTAATTGGAATCTGCTGGGTAAAGAAAAATCAGTTTTCTCCAATAAAGTGTCCCAGGGGATATCAACTACACTCCAGGGCGGGACCCATGCCCAGATGAAATTGTGTGCTGGAATTTTGTGTTGTTAACTGGCCAACATGAAACAGAATCCTTGTTGTTTTGGGGAATTTTTTGTTTGTTTTGGTATTTATTGTCTTAATGATTTTTTTTAGTTTGTTTTGAAATTTGGTTGTGTTTTTAATTTTTCAGGTGTGTGCTCATGCTCTCTCTCTCTCTCACACACACACACATACACGAGAGAGAGAGAGAGAGAGAGAGAGAGAGAGAGAGAGAGAGAGAGAGAGAGAGAGAGAGGAGAGAGAGAGAATCTGTGAGGAGTTGGTGAAGGGGAAAGATGATTAAAATATTTTAACATGGAAAACTTGTTAAAAGATAAACTTTAAGTACAGTTTGGTGAATTACTTTAAAACATTACAAACACTCCTCTTGGTTAGGAA